TAAAAGGATATATAGACTCGAAAATAATACCTTTCGCACACCGTTATTATTCTGATTTCTTAAATCATCAACATCTTCGAAATAGTAAATCTGTGTCAGAAACGACGTGCAAAGAAATCATTTTCAAAATTCGAATTTCTATCTTCAAAGGGCAGAACGCTCTTAATTAGTTTGTTATTGAGAAAAACTCATGAACTAACTGATTCTTGAACCTGATATCTGTACTCATTTATGATTTACAATCAACGAATGTTAATGTCTCGTTAAAATGAAAAAAAAATTCGGATATTATATCTGTAATATACTCTGTATTGTTGTTGTGTGATTAAATCGAAAACCTCAAACATATATACCACATTTTGTTTCTGAAAACTTTATTCCATATCTCGAGAAAAATATTATAAAAAATTGTAAAATTATTGAATATGTGATTATGATCGATATATTAAGATTCTAATATCAATAGATAATTAAAATCAAATAAAAATTATAAGTAAATAAACATTGATATTCAATAAGCTCGGTGTTGGAAAAGGAAATGACATAACAAAAGAATAATTATATAAGAATAATATACAAAATAAAAAGATATGTAGTTTGCATGTAACTCCTTATATTCTTATTTATATCCTGATATCTATTAAAATAATGTTGATTTTTTTTATATTTATATAAATTATATGTATTATTATAAATACATATTTTATATCATATTGAATTTTACAGTATACCAGAATATAAAGTTCAATTTCTCTTGTCTCATTCGTCTGATTTGCGATCTAATCTTATTCCGCATTGTCAGTAACATGTGACCCTGTTCATAAGCAAATAGGCAACCCGACTTATTGATCTATAGATATCAGCAACACTGTGTATATAGGATACATATATATATATATATATGTCCCATTTTAACATTTGCTTCAAAATATCTCTAAATGTAAAAAAGATACGGAGACGTACTTCACATAAAAGTTGGAACAGAAGAAATCTATTGGTCAAATTATTTTTTCTCTAGATAGAGGCGCATAAAAGTTATGTAGATAATTTCCACTTGTTTGGAAACTCCACTTAAATGGAATTAAATGTATAATTGTTTTAACATAACATTGCATCTCAGATTATTTTATACATATAAAAGTAGAGATATTAAAAAACCAACAGTTTATGAGATATTTTGTATTCTATTCTGACATATTATATTCTCATAAAGCATTAAATAGCTTGTAAACTATTAATCTTTTGATAATTGTACTTCAATATATTTATTAATAGAATAACCAATCAATTACAACTTACATCAATTAATTGATGTAAAGAAAACGCTAAGTTGTTTTAAAAGTATACGTACAATGGATAATTTTATTAAATATATATAATTAAGTTTTTATATTTGATTTATCTCATCAATTGATTTATCTCGCTATTCTATTTATAAAAGTATTGAGATAAAAAAAATTAGTGGTTTATGAGGTATTTAATATTTTATGTTAATATGTGCTAGAGTAAAATAGGGAAGAGTTAATACATTTTTTCTGTATTGTTTTTTTACACATAACTAATAAATGAAATATACACCGCGAGAGAATTTTTTTAATAGGTATATAAACAATACAGAAATTATTTTTATAATTTAATATCATTAACTTTAATTACTTTAATGTACATATTTTTGAAAATATAAGATAATGCAACTTGTAACACTTCATATGTCGGATCCCAGTTAGAGATTCCGATATTAACTTTTAGCAGGAAAATAATTATTAACTTTGACTGTTAATTATTTTTTAAAGAATAATGAGCGATGGCTAAACTTATTGGAGGTCACTAGAGTCATAACCTTGACAATATATGTCGAGGTCAAATTCATTAGAGGGGGGAACAAGTCTCTTATTGTAAATAATCATTATGAATATTTTGAAAACAATTGAGTATAGACGCGCCATTCTGCTCCTAAAAAAAACTTGTGCGGTGCGATCCGTAAAAGTCCAGTATAGTGAGCGTCATTTTGTCGCTGAGATATTCAAAATCGAGCGCAGACACAAATGATCCCCGTTTACACGCACGCACGATAAGATTAAAATATAACATTTAATTAAGGGAAATAAAAAACATATGTATATATAACGAAATTTTATTAATAATTTCAGATAAAATACGCGTTTAAAACATACTGATTATTATTGATATATATAATTATTGTATGTTATTCGAATTCTTATTAAGAGACTTGAACGATATAATCGTACATAACACAATATCAGTCGGTTTT